CAGGTCAGGCCGCCAGAACTGCGCGGTGACCGAAGCCTGAGGTCAGGCTTGCGCTCAAGCTTAGACTTGACAGGGCAAATCAGAGGTGCCTAATCCGAAGAGACCTGACCTAATAAAGAAATAGATATACACCCTTGACAGAAGGGCGTTTAATGCCTTTTTAGGAAAGGAGCGAAACGACCGTACTTTTTCTTCGCTATCTCAAGATACGGGGGCATATAAATTATGCGAAGCATATTTTTTGTTGAAAACGAGAGCTTCAGATGGGGAGGAGAGACTCCAGGTTGCGTGAAAAGTTTGACACTCCAGAAGTTCCTGCTCCTTCTCGTAGCCTTAGAGGATACCCCACAGCTTGCGATAGCGCCGTTCTTTCGGTTACGCATTGTTTTTCTTTCTTTCATGGGGAGGAAGGAGAGGGAGGGGTCATAGATGGGATTTCGGCGCCGGAATCGCAGGTCCCAATCCCAACTAGATGCAATCACGGAGTATCAAAGCGTAGTAGGGTATCGAAGTACCTGTAGCACCCGGGTTAAACGGCACAGATACCATATCTGGTGGCGAGGGGTTGAACTCATAGACGGAACGAGAAAAGGGTGAGCCTATTCGGCCAAGAGTTTCTCAATATGTGACACACCCTGTCAGTTACCCGAGCTTGAGTCTTGGACTTTCCCCCACGTGATTCACGATTCACGCAACAATTGCGCAAGCGTGCTGCTGAGGTGGGTACGGTAGAAAGTCATCGTCATCGTTGTCATCGTGATGGAGAATGCAAATGAGCACTCACCAGCTCATGTTTTTCACATCTCAGTCAAGTCAGCGTCCTTTTTATTGGGTCGTTGTTTTGTTCACAGAAACACGATCTATAACGCGTTGATGAGGTGGTACGGCAAAATTGCCGTGAGAACTCGTCCGCCAAGCAGCAACAGCTGAGAGTCGACCCCTTCAATTGTGCGCATATGTTTGTGTGTATGCGTGTATGTGTTTATGTGTATGAAATACGCCGAGGTAAAAACACTTGTCGCTGTCCGGACAAATGAGGCGGTTTCACTCTTTACCGAAAGGTGTGCGCGATGAACTATAAGGCAATTAACTGGCGGGCGACCGAGCGTAACTCAGACCCTGAAGCGAAAACCAGCCAGCCAGCCAGCCAGCTGTGTATTCACGACAAGACGATGGAGCGATTCATAGTTGCTAGATACTTAGCAGTATAACGGCCAGATTTAATCCACCGATAAGTGACCCGTTCTTAGCCCTGGCATCCACTGGTCGTGTGTGAGGGTTATGACATATGGGGCAGCTTTTTTATTAGCTACAGATGGATAGATAAGGTTTTGCTTGAAAAACGGGTCCTGAGGGAACCTTCTCGAGATTATTCTAAGGCAACCTTACAATGGAGCCCAGCGTAAAAGAAACGTGATAACCGCTAGACTAACTTTTTGAAGCATCTGAATGATTTTGATTACCTCTCTAATCTCTTTAAATCACCAGTGCACAACTGAGATGGTCTAGACATCCCACTGACAACAAAGACGGCGCTGAGTTACTTGAGAGGGACGTCATATGCATA